GCTCTTAGATGTAGTGCAAAGAAGCGGCGGAATCACCATGGAGAAGTTGCGCATGGCATAAGACCGATCTCTGGCAGGGGCCAAATAGGCGGCCACAGGCTTACTTCACAGCTACCTTACGTATTGATGTTTATTCAGTAGACGTGCTTGTGGTATTTTTTGCCGCGGCGGCAAAACAAAAAGTACCACAAGCACACCTACTGAACAGACTCGGTAGGGTTGAGGCGGAGGGAAGGTTTCCCATCTACTGTTACCTAAAATTTATGTCCGCTACACAATGTCCCTTTTATACCTTTGCGCACACAATCTTCTCCTTTCCTAAACCATCTCTGGGTAGTTCGCATGTGCGGCAATTGTGCTGTTAACTGCGGGGTTGCCGGTTTCGTGGTTTAAGCCGGTTTACTGCCATCATCATTCGGTTACATTAAATGAACGCGCACACTATTGAAAAGTCCCACTTTCCCCCTCCGCCGACGCTTCCTGCACTTACTTCCCCAAGCAGGCTTGGTCAAGCCTGAAACGCCGACCAGTTTCAGGTTACGGTCCACTTACCTCCATCCCACGCATTCCACAATCCACCTAACTGAGGCGCCAGCTTCCCCTTTTGTCTGTCAGACTATCGCTTGCGGCAGCAGTTTACTAACGTTTCAGGCCCGACATCCACTTCCACCCCAAACACTCCCTCATTATCTTCTGCACCCCCCCCCCAACCCCAAAGGCTTATAACCTACGCCGTCCAAACATAAGCCTTCCACTTGGGGCAACAGCTACCAAAAGCTTCAGGCTGTTAAACCACTGCGGTATTTACATAAACCCCTAACGCTCCGTCACCATCTAGCCCACCCCTCCCCCACTTCCCCAAATGCTTATCACCTACGCCGTCCTAACATCAGTCCCGGCAGTCCTTCTCCCCATTTATACAAACTGCCAGCATTCGACAACTCCCTCATCGGCTGTTCCCACTTCCGCCTGCTTCACAGTCTACTGCCCCCCCCCGCAATTTTTGTTAGTTGACCTGATATGCCCTTCACGGCGGGTGGTTCAAGTCACCAGTCACCAGCTACCCCGATTCGTCCTTACCGTCTGCCATGGTTGGCAGCTGCCTAAGACCCTCCCCGCGCGCCATCCTGTCCCCGCACTAAAGGTCTTCCGTAACCACTCCCTTTCTGCCCCATATGGGTTTACTGACGAGGCTTAGTGGACGGCATTGCATTATTCTACATCGGTAAACATGTTCACCTACCAAACCTCCCGGGTTGTCGATCAGTCGCCCTCCTCACTGTGCGTTGATGGCTCAATTACCGTTGTTAGAGATACCTGCCCAGCCCACAGACAACGTCCGTTCGGTTCTACCATTAGCCCACCACAGGCTCCCATCAGCTAAAGCAGCCTTGCGGTTGAAATTTACTCAAATGAGTATCAAAACTTCTCTTATTCCGGATTCTTACCAGCACCGTAAGCCAGAACACTGCAATAGCAAAATGCAACATTAACCCAAAAATAGGAAAGGGAACAACACATTAGACATACAGCGTAGTACAGAAAATCGTCCCCGGCTGCCTTGGGCAGTGGCTTGCCACATCACTGGCAGTCAACAGTTAGGTGTGCTAGAAAATAGTATGCGATTACACGCCTGCCGTACACTGCAGTACCTCATATCGCCTTCAGCATCCTTTTTTGATAGCGTGTATCCCCATCGACAGCAGGTAACGGCCACATTCACTGTAGGTAGGCATGGAGAGTAAATGGAGGAAGTACAGAGACTTAACTTCACGTCTTCCGTCTGCGCCTTCGTTGGTTAACTTATCCAATCGCCGTTGGTTGGCTCTCCTCAATTAAATAGGCTTCTGCCCAATGTCATAGGAAAGTTTTCCAGGAAGCTGCCATGTTGTCGGCCCTTAGGTCTAACCAGAGGCGGTACTGAACCCCATCTAGGTGGGCCCACACTGCTCTGCCACAGACAGGACCAGACTCGTGCAGCTTCCTCTTCAATCTGCTCCAGTAGGCCTCTACGGCGTTCGTATGCCGACCCGTTGTGGGATTCACGAAGACCCTACTGTGGTTGACAGTGTAGTGTGTGTAACCTTATAGCATATACGTAGCAGTGTCCGCAGACTGAGCTTGCTACCAACGAACATTGACCCCGTCCGCAGACTCCGCTTCCGTCTGCAGTGTCCACAGCGGAAGGCATAACCGTCCGTATGCTGCCGCAACACTTGCATCCGCACAGTACGCCGACATCGGCATGTTAAGGTGGTGGCCAGCAACCTCCACCGCTGCAGGTACTGAACGACAGCTGCTGACTGAAGGACAGCTTGTATTTCATCCTCGGCGAACTGTATAACCCGCTGAGGACCGCGCCTACGCCCGCCTGCGTTCGGTGACGATTTAGATATAAAACAGTATAAGTTTATAATACTGCCGGTGTCAACTTATACATATCCCCACCCCTTTTTTCCTTATGTGTGCCCAGAGTAATTCCTGGTACACCTAACAATGAGGTTCAGTTGAATTACCGGTAGCTTATAGATAGTAGATCATCACGCGTTCTGTGCTAGCTATTCGGACATAACATGACTTTCCCTGCATTTTCTCACACAGCTTGTATCCACCAGGCAATGTGCTCTTGGTTGAGTAACATAGTGCGCTTAACCTACATAGGAGTTATGTAAACAAATCAGTGGCCTTTCAGTCAAACTGCCCTCCTCCTCCGCAGGCTAACGACCAACTACCTAGCACGGACCCACCCAACTGCAGACTACGTCTCTCACCCCCCCCCCCTCTTTTACCTTAGCATAACCACAATGGGAACATAGGTCCCCTTCAGCTAATGGCATGCTCTGAGCCCGACTTCGGTTGGTCCGTGCGTCTGAAGAATCCAAACCCCCCCCCCTTTTCAATGGAGACCATGACAGCAGCGTGCATTAATATTTCTCGACGGAAGGGGTTTGATGCAGACAAGGAGCAGTATGATTTTAAAGCGGTTGTGCACTTACTCACCGACGACCGCCAGCGATCGTGGCATCCGACACGGCGCAGTTCCCGGAGGCCCCCGCCAGCACTACGCAATAACCTAAATTTAAAATTAAAAGGGTTACTTAATTCTGCAAACTGCTCCCACTATGGACACTTAAAAATCTAGCGAAACGGCGAACTTACACACGGCGGTCGACCAGTTCGGGAGTTCGCCGATCTGCTGTAGGTTAGTGCGGCGGCGTTGGAGTACGTCCAGGTATCCTTAACATTCTTCGCGTTTTGCTTATTAAACGGTGCATGCGGTGGAGGTCACCGATATAACAAAGAGGGAGGGGGATAGTAAGGGGCTGGGAATTGAGGCAATTGTCATTAGCAGTTTATTCAATCACTCCAACCCAACCAAAGTAGTTGGATGTTCCTTCCCGTCTCGCTTGCTCATCTTCCGCTTCTCATCCATCTGCTGCAGACTAAATCAACGGTGGCGCCAACGATCCGATTGGTTAACCGCTTGGCGGTTCATGTTTACTCGCCGTGGCCGCCAATCATCTCACGTCCCCGCCACCCCACCTGTGACTGGGTATTGCCTAAGGTACTGCGTATTTGCACGCCATCCTCCAGTATTTTTCACTTCATTAAAACAAATAATTATTTTACTACAATTTCCAACATCTTTTTACATCCAGCCGTCAATCCAGTGCACTCTGCTAGTTTCCCGCCCGTTCTTCCCCTCAAAACCGCCCTCCCGTTTTACCCGATCCACCTTAAGATATTTTCTCACTATGGCCGCCTATTTGGTCGCTGCCCGATCTCTCAGAGTGGGTGTCAGTTAACGGATGATTGCAGATAGAGTTAATGCGAAAAAGGAGGCAAAGGCCAGATTCGAGTCTTCTATCCGACAAAAACTTTATGTTCGCCAGCTGACATCTCTGAGTATAAGAAATACCGGACGAAGCTTGAGAGAACAGTTTCCGGGTGAAAACCCTCTGAACATTTTCGATCTTATAACGGCCACAGGCGTTCATTAAACCAAAGAAAGGACAGCAGTATTCGAGGACTAAAAGAAAAACATTTGATAGAGTATTAGTTTCATTTTCGGATGGAAAAATTTACGCCATATGAACCCGCATACTTGCGCGGCTTTGACAGAGATTCTATCTGCATGAGGTGGTGAAACAAGCCTATTTGTGTAACTAAGACCTAGGTCCTTTATGGTGAGGCATTCTGGGAGTGGGTTATTCTGAAATTTTATGTGGCCAGGAAGATTGGCAGGACCAAAAGACATGAAACGACACTTGGATGATGAAAACTACATCTGCCATGTTGAACCTCATCTGCTTAAGCGTAGTAAATCAGCATTAATTTCTTCAACAAAAACGTCTGCGCTGTCCTTAGAGTATGAGTAAACACACTTGAGGTCATCGGCATAGGTAAAAGTTTGCGAATTTCCGAGTTCAGTCGGAATATCATTGATGTACAGAAGGAAGAGGAGCGGACCCAGAACCGTGCCTCGAAGTACGCCACTCGTGATCGAGTGGGGTGTCGAGTAGCTATGACCGACCATGACTTTCTGATATCGGTTGGACAGATGGGACCTGATGAAGTTGAGTAGAGGCGGCCGGACGCCGAGAGCTTCCAATTTCGCTAAAAGACGTCTACGGGGCACCTTGTCAACAGTTTTGCTAAGATCAAAGTAGATAACAACCACTGACTGTCGCTCATTACGAAGAGAGGTGCTTAGATTAAGAAATGCCAAGTGGCATGTTTCGTAGGATCGTTCAGGTAAAAATCCATGCTGACTAGAGCTCAGAAGCCGATTAGCTAGACAGAAGTCAAGAATTTGATCGAAACCTATCCTTTCAAGAAACTTTGCTAGAGACGGTGTTTTGTGCACGCCCCGATAGTTATTAGTATCGGACCGAGATCCAGACTCGAAGACAGGAATGATGATTGACGTTTTCCAAGGACGTTGAGAGCATCAATCAGCCCTACTGGACACCTTCGTACCAACGGCTGCCTCGCCCTCCATGGCGACAAACACTGACCGTACTCCAGAACCCCTACTACCATCCTTCTTCATCGCCTCAACATCCGCTGCGGCGTTACTTCCACCCACCACCACTGCACAAATTCCTGACACACTGACAAATACCAACTTCCCCTCCATGAACGCCAGCGATGTGGGCTCCGCCCATACTTGCCCTCATTACGATCGCACTTTCTCCTCACACACTGGCTTTGTAGGTCGCTTGTGAGTCCGTCGAACAGAGACTGGAGGACCAGTACCTGGAGCACTCACACACACCAGACGCATTCACCCAAACTGCCCCAAATGAACCCCCAAATTTAGTCATCTTATGGGTATATTAGGCCAGTTGCGTATCCATAAGAGCGTAGTTGACCGCGGTCTTGACACACCAAGCATATACTGCACGTTTACCATGTCTAGCTCAACCCCTACCCCGTCAGCCAACGAGTTCGCCATCAGCAGCTCAACAACTGTCACCACATCTGAAACCCAACCTGACACCCCCGACTTTCCCTGTCCACGCTGTACACGTACATTCTCCCCACACATCAGCCCTGTCGGCCACTTGAGAATTCATAGCACAGAGACTGTCGAACCGGTGTCTGGAGCGTCCACTTACACTCACCGCATCCGCCCCAACTGGCAGTCTCATTTCCTTCTGATGAAATCAGTACTGGACCAAACAAAGGCACTGAAGAACCGTTGTCTGCTAACAGCTTAATAAACTGTCCGTGGTGAGACGGGGCGGGGGTCATAGACCACGAACTCCATCACTACGGTAGATTAAATCGGTGGATTCAGCACCCAAAATTTGTGGGGGGTTTTCTCAATGCGAAAAACGAGTAATGGGTCTCTTAAACGAAGAATAATTTTACAGAATTTTTGCATTCCTGACAAATTTGTTCCAGACTGAATTGTGTTCATATAAAAGAAACGACGATATTTAACGGAACACGCAAGAGGAAGAAGTAAAAAACCTCAATGTGACTATTACGTCGGGGATGGTCTGGCGGGTTTAAAGTAGTAAACTGGTTGAAAGTACGTTCGCTTAAAAGTCCCTTTTTAGTCGACGAAACCACAAGGGGTCAAGGCCTGTAAGACGACAACGATCCGGGTCGCTCAAGTATTAGCGGTCGAAGGTCAAAACTCTCTTGGTGAATATGTGTTGGACGGGTTCCATTCTCTTCTACTCAGCAGCACGCATGAAGCTAAATAAAAAGGAACCGTATTCCAGGCCAGGTCTGACGCACGTTTTATAAAGGCGCATTCTAATGTCGTTAGTTTTCAAATTTCGGAGGATAAACCAGGTCGTTCTGCGTGTTTTGCAGACTATGATGACGAAGTCCTCCGAAAGATTAAGACTCCTGGATTATCATGCACCCAGATCCTTAATAACTTCAGCCACATTGATGTCGTGACCGTAAACACATATTTGGTGTTGGTGACCATCGCGATCTTCATTCGTAAAACTACCTGCGTTGTGTTAACAAGGCTTTGTTCTCCAAAGAATGTTACACGAAACCAGTCCAAACTGTAAGGAGCATACGCAATCCTTGTTAACAGAGTTGAATAGCTTGAGCATGGAATAGCAAAATGTTCTGCAAAGAAAAACAGTTAATGAATTCCAACATTTCACCGGGCGCTTCTGTCCTTAGCTCTAGTTTCCGTATCTCGTTTGATTATTGTTAGAAGGCGGAACAATATTAGGACATCGGCGGAGTTTTTGAAGACTAGCTCGGTTACGAGCATACCCGCCCAATGATAACATTTTATCATCCAACACTTTTAATTCCCCTTTCAGAGTCAAACTTGAAACCAACGACCAACACCAACAATCAACACAGTCCCAACAGCAATACAATTGTTCACTTTGTTCCGTAGCTGGCTACGCCCCCCTCCGCAATCATACTTTTTGGACTTAGTCTCTCCCTACCCGTTTCACCTCCTCTTATATTTCCCATTAGTTTTCTCGGCCGTTATTATGTTATTATCCTACCGAGAACGTATTCTTTAATATTTGATGCGTGACGTATGCGTGTTGATTATTGGGGCACCCGTTATTCAGTCCACGTAGGTTGTATCAGACCTGTTCGAACATCGGACACGCCTGCTTTGATTTACCTTGAACTGTAAAGGCGTGTTCGTGATAGCCCCTAACTTCGCAATGGCATCTCTGATGTCGGTTCTCTCCAGGTTCAGGAGTATTATTAGACAAAATGGCGGCATACGTGGCTCAATTGTTACTTTATTTAGGTTTGATCTTTAAATATCTTGAAACTCTTGTTTCCACTCAGAACTGACGAACTGAAGGATGGTACGCTTGTAGGCGAGGACTATCTCGGCAACAAATACTATGAAAACAACCGCTATTTCGTTGGTTTGTTTGTTTACCTCATGCTTTTTGATACTTAAGGGCGTAATCGGTGGGTAGTTTATGGGAACCGTTTTGGCTGGGATTATGAAGGTTCACAGGTCCCTCCAGAATGGTAGTTTATCTTGCTCATTTGAAGTGCTTAGGCATCGATGGCTCCATTACATGACCGATGAAACTCCAATTAATCATCCGCCCGAGCGAAGGCCATGGATGCAAGATCACAAGGAGAACACAACTTTGCAGCCAGATGCCAAATACATCCCCTTCCCCACAGTAAAACCGAAGATTGAAGCCTGGAGCCCCAAACAGTGACCAAGTCGAAACTGCGGCCTGATCTATGTCTTTTAGTGTAAATTTATTCGCCAGTTGTCATTAGGGCACTTATTTCGTTAAGGCTGCCTTTTCCTTTATGAAATTCGCCATATAGACGAAGCACTCCAGGTCATGCGTTTTATCGGTCCGAGGATTCCCGTACGCGTGCTTGTCTTGGGCAGTTCCGATGTTCTGATTTTTCATTTTGCTCGTGTTACTCTCTATTAGATCATTGTTGACGGTGTGAGCGGTCTGTGCATCCTCTTGGGTGGGAAGTAGCCGTGTCTCGTCAGTTGGTCTTGAGTTCTTAATTTTAAAGCTTCGCGAGCGACGCAAAAACGGGCATTACGGAAGATATATTTTCAGATTCCATATAAACTCCCTAGTACTAACCATTGTAGTGTTTATGAATCTAAAACTTCATAAGGATCCCTAGAAGTGCGCTTAATTCACTTATCACGCGTGCCATTATAATGCACCTGTTTCGCCTCAGACCTTATTTTGGAGAACACTCCTGACGATCATCAGTAAGTAGCTATCTGTCTACATATCAATTAGAGAAGTTACTCATTTATCACTGAATTTCGTACATTGATTTATTCAGCGGTCCACATAAACCACCGTTTTTAACTGCATTCGTTTAAACCACCAACCAAAGAGTTTTTAAGTTAGGGGGATAGTTGCAATCTTCCACACTGTCAGCGTTAGTGCTGCGGGCGCTAGCCGTTTCGTGCCAGTACAATCGTTGGTTTCTCTTTGCTCGGTCTTCCCTCTGCGTTCGAAAATCGCTAGGTAAAGCTATGGGAAAATGAGTAGCCGACTGGAAATAGTTCGTTACCAAGACAAGCATGCAATCTACTCGCTATCTATTGTGTTTCTTTTCGTCTTTTTCCCTTAACTTGTTTACAATACCCATCCTCTGGTCGTTCCCGTTTACGAACTTGTTGATGCTAAGCAGTTTTATTCAGATTAACCCTGTATCGTATTCCTCTTTTAGTGACGGAGGTCGAAACTGACGTATTTTCACGCGCCTTTCAACCCTCAACCGATCGATCCGTGTTCTAGTCCTCAGTAGTTTACATATGCAACCGCCACAACACTATGGAAATCTCAGCCCGCAGAAACTTAAGCGCAGTCTCTGAAAGCAATTTTCGCGATGCGGTGTATCTACCTCCTATTCGGTAGCACAGAGCTGCAGCGTTCAATAATTTCTGCTCATCATGTTAGACTTTCAGTCCTAATAATTTCTGTCGCTTAGTGCAAGAAATTGACGTCTTGAAGGATTTAATATGGCTTAAGACTATTCTATCCATCCCCAACCCATGAATGGGTATAAGCGCTTTGAAATCCCAGTTTAGGATGACCTATTAAAATATAGTTGCGCCTATTAACTGTGTCAAGTTCTAGTTTCTTTACCGGCAGACCATCAGAATCGCTTCATAAGCTAGGCATTTACATGGAAGTGTGCGAAGAGAAAGCGAATACCAACGGTCTTTGCTACCAAGGGTTACGACGCCCTCTTTTTAAGTATTAGCGTGCGTCCTGTGCCGCAAATGCCCTGCTCTTCTGAATGCTCGTCACTGCGCAAGCTGACTTCCGGTCATTTGACTTAGTAGAAGTCGCACGTGTGGTTTCCGGCGTAGAACTTAATAGACGTTTCTAAGAACTGACTACTTTGATCTTTCTGGGGGATTTCAAGATGGTCGACACCCCTAAGTCTGTAAATGGTGTTACACGCTGTTTTCATACCGCCAAACAGTTCGTGTGGAATAGTTTAGCTTTCCTGAATTTTTGCATGTTTTTAGTAATCGCATGTTAGTTCGTACTCTGGGATTATGTGTCCTTTTTCTGACCAAAACAGACGCATAGAGATCACGACTCGCGTTCATAAGCTGTTGGTTCTAAATCCGAGTGCCCATATTGTGATTTTTTCCTGATCTTCCCCTCGTTTATCCTTCGTCAAATCTTTTGCAACGTACCCAGGATTAAACGACATTTGTAGAACAGTTAGCGCCTACCAAAATGGTATTTGGGGCTATGGCTTGCATACTTGTATTTGGTAAGATCTCTTTATTCACCGCTGAAACAGCGGATTAATTTCTTTTTTAGCCCCACAATTTTGTCAGGAAGGAGACAGCAATTATTCCACAATTCTTTGTTAGACATAATCCAGGCCCCCTCACCTCCATATTAAGTCCAGAAATTTTGTAAAATTAACCAAATGGCTCGTCCGTCAATGTTCAATCTCCGATTACCCCAATAGACCTGACACTGCTGTTAGTTCAAATCACCACACAAGCGCAACGGTTGTGCCATGAGGTGCCCTCTTTCGTGTTTATACCGACATGAACGACGAATGTGTCGTAAAACGCGAATCTGACAAATGCTCATTCAGACAGGTGGCTGATTTGATTTCTGGGCAAGTACGAATGCTATGCAGACTCAGTGGGTAGGAATCCGTTTGGCTCTTCGGATCGTATTTAGCGCTTTTAACTATTTGTGGAGCCTACTGGTCTTGCCGTTTATGGCTGGGTGGCAGGTTGCCTTTTAAGTTCAGTGACGCCCAAAGCAGTTCAAAACACCTGCAAGGATGTCGGCGCGGACATGCTGTCTTTGCTAGTCAGTATGTTAGACAGAGCCTCGCAAGTCGGGCCTCAAAGACAGACGGCGGCATTAAGCTCATCCTCTACCTCCTGGCTAGGTACCGGGACCTAAGCAGGGCAATAGATGGAACGCTGCGTCTCCCCTTTTTGTCCTTTCCAGGGACTTCCACGGCAGGGATGCAGGCCGCGTTCATCTGCGTTTTGACTGGTACGGTCTACTTGGTCGAGAACGTCCATATCCACGTCTAATTGTTACTGGGCAGGTGAGATGTGGTGTCTGTTATGAAGAGATTGTACTCTGTGCAAATCCGCGGGAGTCGTATATTGCAGTTTCCCACTCTGACCTCTACGCAGTCCTCAGCTGGTGGAGTCTGCTCCAACTAGTGCATGAAAACCTTCAGATGCTGTAGATTTCGGAAAACTAGTTAGCGAGCATACGTTTGTCTTAGATAAGTGCGCGGCAGGCCATTACATTTATATGGGGACGGGGTGATAAGAGCAATCTGTTAAAGTTTGTCTTTTCATAGTTTGGTATGGGAGTATGGGAAGGAGGGTAATAAGGGACAACTAGTCTTCTGAATCTTTCAATGGGGATTTTCGCAACTCTAAAACAGCTATAAGTTTATTCGTCTTCGGTACAGGCGCGGGGGAGTGCAGCCCCCTTCTAGTTTGTCTTTGGCCGCGTCTAATTTTCAGCTTCCTCACTATCGAGCGTAGTTAATTTTCTCCTGAGACAGTTCGATTATTCTTGGTTGGTTTTTCATTGCGTTGGGCGGAGTTAATTACCTGTCTACTTTGTTTCTTTTGGTGAAGGCAGTTCCTACATTACGTCTTGCTCCCAATCACCAACTGCCCCTGAAGTCGTCTTTGTTTCAAGAGGCCGGTCTCGTCCGTAGCGGTTATGTCCTCTGTGTCTGTTCTGTTAGCGGGTGATTGAAGGTGCGCTTCTTTATGGTCATCAGACTGCTTGGAGGGGGACTAGCGTTTCCGACTTTCAGATCTCACAAAGTCGCCATACACGTAGAAAACGAGGAGAGACAAACGTCTATAAACAGTCGTTGCCTGGAGGCAATCCGGCAATCGGCGTCGTGGGTGCTACACAACAATCGGCAAGTGCTCAAATGCAACTTATTTCAGTTATTTTGGGAACGTGTATCATTGAGGAGAGCACCAATAGTAGCAGTACATATACATTAACTGGCCTATCTCATGAAGTGTTAGCCGAGGTTCAAAAATGTGTTTTCAACCAGAAGGGATTACTTAGTTGAGGTTGTAATATTGATTGTTGTGCGACGTAACCCCAAGATATTTCGGTCGCGGCAGGATGCCGACTTCCTAATGGACTTCTTTTCGACCGCCTGTGGAAGGAACACGTAAAAAAGTGGCCACTGAAGCATTTTGCGATGTCTTAATTCAAATATATTTTATGTAACACATGCGCAGAAATATTATTCTTGTAGTCCCTTGGTAGAAATTCATGTCTTATTCATGTTTTTTTACTTGGTGGGAAAGGCTTCGCCTTGTTTTAAAGAAAGTTTTTTGATCCTTAAAAGTTAGAGCACAAACGCCAGCTGCACTTGCGCTTAGCGTTCTGAAACTTCATACTGCAAACTCCGTGTTAGGTAGATCAAATATTTTGTCTCTGCTATTAAGAAGACATCATATAAGGCTAATGAAATTTTGCAATGAATGCGGGCCCTGTTGTTAATTTCATAGGCAGCATTAATAAACTATCTGATGCAATACTATATGAATAGACATTTTACGGTGCAAGAAATCTCATAATTAGACACTTTAAGACCAGGAGATGGCCTTCTTTGGAGTGCGAAATTCGAGGAAGACGTAATTTACTAACAGATGAGCAAAAGAAAGAATATCGTTGTGCATGTTTATGCGAAATGTATTCGAATTTTTGAAGATATTGAAAATTAATGAGGGAATTCACATCACATAGTCATTTTTTACTAAGTATGGTTTTTGTTGGCGGCCGGAAGAAAGTTAATTCAGAAGCCGGCATCCTGGCGTGACGGAAATATCCTGGGATTATGTTGCATGCTAATCAGCATTGCAAGCCCACCTTAGTAATCCTTTCCAATCAGAAACATTTGAGAGATTTGGTCAGTATCTCATGAGATAGGCCAACTTCTGTGCATCATTCACTTTGATCGTCGCATGCGACGAGGTCCACCGTGTGCCCCACGACGGAGTGGGCGCAAAACGGTGACTTACGCGTGAATTCGTACATAGTGGCGACAGGCTTGCATAACCCCTGCCGCACTCCCAAACTTTCGTCGTCCTGTAGCAACATACAGTCAGGACGACTGGACGCAGTGGCTGACAAGGTCAAACGGACCGTGCACGTGCCACACACGATCCCGTCCCATAGGAGAGGACGAATCGGATCCTCTCCGAGTGGAAAGGCTATAGGGACCACACTAAAAGGGAGTCATTGAGTCTGACTCTCGGTCCTCAACCCGGTCACTCCACATACACTACTGACCACTATGGCCCAGTTATCTTATCAGTTGGCAGCCTTCAAAGCCACGACGTCTAGCGTATCATGATAGTTTCGGGGCGCGTCAGAGCTACAGTAGCCCCTCTATGTGGGCCACACCCGGTCTGGTCATTCACCAGGTTACACCAAAAACCATACTTCCCACTGGCCTGGGCGGTGCACGCCCTGTCCGTGTCTCGAGTATTGTGAGGCGGGCTTATATGTGTTATGTTGGCTGGAGTAAGGTGTGGTGACGGCGTTGC